CAATAGTCATAAATCTGAAAAGTATTTGGAGGATGGTGAGATTGCACTAGGGAGCTGTGAAGCTGTGGTAGAAAGCATATTCTATCCTAAGATTCTTGATGGAGTGCGGAAATTTGTTTTTGAGAAAAGAATAAGCTATGTTCGGATTGAGGTGCAGTCTTCTATACAATCATTCGACAACTCAAAAGAGGTTCAGATTGCCGATATTGGAATACTTGCTGAAGCATACGAAACTTCCTTAGATATCTCTTCTGCTGCTGAAACGTTTGTGATATCAAAAGATTTGGTATTGAAGTTCCTAGTCCAGAAATCAGTCAAGTACTGTGAGGGAAGAGGTGCAAGAATGAAGTGGAAGTGGAAAATCGTGGCTGTTTCCTATCACCCACCTTGAGGACAAGGTGATTGTTTAGGGGGGGAGTATTGATAGGAACATAGACAATAATACTAATAAGAATATTGGAATAGTATTAAAGAATGTAATAGTGTATAAGTGAAGATTCTGGGCCATTTAGGAAATCAGGAATACTGGGCCTATTATTGTAGATAATAATAAGTGGGCTTGTACTATAAGTAGAAAGGGAGGGTAGGCAAATGAGGCAGGCAAGTATTAAGTTGGGAATAGACTTTGGAGACTGGGCATCTCGAATCGTCCAATACTTGTATACGTTCTGTACTTCTTCCTTACATCAATAAACTTTCACTGATCTTGTTTCTCCATAATTGCTATTGAATCTACTGTGTTGAGAGTCGGATTTGCCAGTGTCTATCAATCTCATGCTAGGGGGGGCCTATTAATAGAAACAGAAAGGAGAGAGAAGGTAGGCAGATATTCAATTAGTTGATTATTGGGAGAGGGAGGCACTCTCGTATCTGTCTCATTGTTCCTTCTGTATTTTCTGTTTCCGCCATTACTATTGTTTCAAGGAATTATGATACTTCATCAGACTTCATCATCTATTGAAAATAAGATTACTGATTGTACCCTAAAAAGAATACTACTGATTTCCACTGGATTGTTTGAGTATCTATCAGTATTTGATTATGTTCTAATATGTCAACAACTTTCTATTTTAAAACATGAAGACTATTTTTATCTTTTACTACTGAGCAAAGCTATATGAGGAAAAAATGCATATACGTATATATGTGAGAAAAAATATAGACACATATATGTATAAAAGATATGTTCCCTTCCATTGTATTAATAAAATGTAGGAAAAGTATTTATATACATAGAACATACATCTCTAAATTTTTATACTCACGCGTTTACCCCAAGTAGATATGTATCTATCCCCTATACTTAGCAGCCAAAGAGGAATATATATCAGTATGTACATTTTTATATCATCACCATCATCATTATCATTACCCCAGTGCCGCAAAGGCTCCCACCTTATGTACATTTTTAAATGTGCATGAAAAATATTTATAAACATACATCCCTGTATTTTACATTTACAAAGTTATCCCACAGCTTGTATCATATACTCTGTATATTTTATAAAGTGTTTCCCATATTTCATGGTTCTCGTTCCTTGTTCTGCGTTTTAATGCTAATTAGATCACCATAATTATTTCTAGTAAGTTGTCATTGAAACCGCCATGTGGAGAAGATATTGTACCTTGGAAGCTGTCACTAGCAGGCATTTCTGTTAGGCGTTTTGCTATGGGAATTGGCCAAGGAAAGAGCAGGGCGGAAATCGGATCACCTTCCCTTGTGTCCTCAATTTTCCAAGAGTATTAGGCCGGTGTCACTTTCCTGTTATCCTTGAGATGGCATAAAAATATTACAAAAAGAACGATTATTTATTTCTAGGCTTCACTTACTCAAATTTTCATTATAAAAATCTATATTTGTAGCAAGTCTAGTTTCAGTGGAAATCATTAAATGGCTAGCGTTAAGTCGTTAACCACTGGCATAGATACACATGTCCGGACCAACTTGGTCATAATGCCACGATAACTAAAAACCTGGGATAATTTTGCCTTATCCTTTCTTCAAATATATGCTAACCATAGAAGTTATAAAATATACTCCATCCGTCACAAATTAAACTTTTTGTAGATGGAAACATAAAGATTAAATTGGGAAGGAGGTACTATTTAGTACTCCCTCCGTCCCAACTTAAGCTTCTCACTTACCTCTTTTGAATGTCCCATCTAAAGCTTCTCATTTCTATTTTAGGAAATAATTAACACTCTTAAATGAAAAATTAATTATCAAATATTAAAATCACATTTATCATCAATGATCTCATTATGTGTATATCAGTATATCCATCAAAACTATTTCTCAAAATATAATTGAATTACCTTATTTAATTATTTTCTAAATAAATGTGTCATTTTTCGAAGAGAAGCTTATTTTCCAAAGAAGCAGGGACAAGTGGCATTCACATTTGAGATTCAAACCTTTTCCTAAAAGAGATATACTCCATATTGAATTCAAGGATAGCCATTGCATTGCATTTCTCAAGCAACACACAAGAGAACACACATTTGTACTGCTCCATAAAACACTCCCTTTACTTACCCACACAAGTTTTTCTCACATTTTTTTAGTTAAATTGCAATATTTAGAAATTAACATTGGTTTTTTCTTTTAATATTAGTCCATAGTATTTCGAAATAAATACCATGTACCTATGTTTTTACTCAATCTAATTATTTTGCAAGCAAGTCTTAGCTCATTCTGTAAAGAGATATACTGGGTATACTCCTGTAAAGAGAGTATCCAAAACTATGTACTTGATTGGTGGAAAACATCATGGGCGCTTCTATTTAATTGTTCAATTAAAAATACCCACTAACTTTACACCAATCAGGTAGAGAGACACTCTCCCACAAGAACTGTTTATAGCATTACTGTAAACTAAAATTGTGAAGAAGAGGAATAGAGATTTAAGATGGATACAAATAGGGATTAATACCTTACCAGAGTGGTAATTGGTAGATGTGGAAGCTTCATATTTGGATCCTTGGCATGATTAGACAAATGCTGAGGGTGTCAAGGTGCTTGGTGATTTTAGGAAGAAGAAAATGCAATTGGGGGATAGCTGGTTTTCTAGAGAAGATTAAATTTTTTAATTCTTCCGAGATGGAGAAAGCTAGGGTGTCTTATTTAGCAAGCTCATTTATAAAAGCAGAAATGTTTAGTGTGTGTAATCTTCTCCAGAATCCAGATAAAAAAAACTAAAAATGGAATAATTCTAGATCTTTCATCATTTAAAAATGGGTGGATTAGAACAGTATGAAACTAAAAATAAGGTAGCATAATAATGAATATGTGGACCTTTAATGTGCAGCGGTTAATTATAAAAAGTGTATCATTGTATACACAAGAATGCACCTCTACGTATTTACAGAGCTACCAACACACTTTTGAGCCATGCACGTTCATTTTTGCACAAAGGTACACCCTTTTCATGTATAGAAGCGCACTCTTAAATATACAACGATACACCTTTTACCATTAAGCGATATATGTCAAACTTTGACATATTAACTAAAACGCCTCCGCATTTCCATTAAAGGTTTTAACATTTACAACTATGCCACCACATTTTTTCTATAAAGATTGATCTCATCCCACCATTTCTTTTAGATCATCATCATTTTCATTCACCCCAGTGCCGCAAAGGCTCCCACCTACGGTGGGGTAAGGGGGGGTCGGATGTACGCAGTCTTACCCCTGTACTAAAGCAGGGAGAGACTGTTTACCGATGACCCATAGTGAAAATCGCGTCCAAAATTGCATGGACTGACTGCTGCTCCATAACAAAGAAGCGAAGACAGTTTAGTGAGCCATTTTGCTTTATTCCATCATAATCTCAAGCCAAAAATAACGAATCTTTGGCTCCATTGCAAATGGTGGAAAATTTTAGATCAGTGAACATTTTTTGTTCTCAATTTCCAATTTTCATCTAACATGCACATTTTACGATTCTTATCATACCTTAAGCAGTGAAGTATTGCAGTTAGCTCAGCAAGTTTTTCAGCTAAGATGGATTGAAAATGAGCAAAGATGGATTGTAAATTTTACTAAAATTTAGTCAAACATTGCACAAATAACAGATCTCATTATTAATATTGTGTAATTAGATTTAGTTTAAGTTAAAATATACAAGTATCCATACAAAGAAGTTCCATTTACAGTCCACTTCAATTGTTTTCGGTAAAAATACAGTCCACCCCTTTTCCTTAAATTTGTGAAATTTTCATTTTCCATATTTTTTCAAAAAACAATTTTATTTTACATAAAGTAAGTTTAAAACTTCAGCTAAATCGGCATAATTCAGCAAAAATATAAATCAGCAAACTAGCACTTAAGATAAATGAGCACTTTAGCCATTCTGCAAACAGTTCTGACTTCTGAGCACTGTAATTACATAAAGATGCACCATCTCTAACTCCAGCAAGTCGACAAGTTCAGAAGTCTAAAAGAATAAGGAGAGAACAGTTTCGAGAAAGTATGTGGCGTCTGACCTGGCTGAGTAGTGCGGCGGCAGGGACAGACGCAGAGGAAGCCGGCCAGGGCGCGGTCGCGGTAGTAGCGGTGGCCGGTGTGTGGGTCACAAAGTTGCAGCCTTGCCGCTCGTTTCGCTCGTCTGGGATTTTGTGCTGACTTTTTGTGAACAATCTTACAAGGTAATTGTGCGGTGAAGAATTATAAAAATGACCACAATTTGAGCCTTTGATGTGTATATAGTAGAGAAATTTACCGTGTTACCCAGTATTTAGTATTTAACGTGCATTCATTATAGATAGAAAGTGTATCTAGGGATTATATGTATGGGGCTTACTAGTGGAACGAACGCATCTCTCTCACTTCCCTATAACATGTTATCTGCATGTACGCCCTGTTTGTTTTTTGGCGGATTCGAAGCAAACCGCTGCAAAATGCAGTGTTTTCATTTGTAAAAACGCCGGATTGAAGCCAATCCGCTATCAATCAAACGTAGCCGTAGCCCTAAACCTATTTTTTTCTCCCGTTCTCCCTACACTCAATCCGCAGCCGCGCCTCCAGCAGTTCAGCCGCGCCGCCAGCAATCCAGCCACGCTTGGCCGCCTCCCAACGCACCGACCGTCGCCCGGCCTCCCCCTTCCTAGCCTGCGACTCACCAATTCCCGGATCTCTGTTGAGGTATTTTTTTACTCAAAAATCATTGCAAAATCTTATGTATATGATTTATTGCATCATGTTTACCATTGTAATGAACATCATTGATTTTTTTTTGAGATTAAGTTGTCATTTTTTTAGATCCATTTATTGCACACCAAGTGTTTGATGATATGCCTCATCCATTTTTTTGAGAGATAGATGCAATTTTTTATTATAATTCCGTAATGCTATATGTTATAATCATATAGTTGGAATCAATATCACATTATGCATCCCTCTTCGTTTTTATACATTCATGTGATCATACTTTTTCATAAAACTATATGTCATATACATATAGTTGGAATCGAAGATCACACGATTAATCTTATTTTCATGTATTTTATATGATTATATGATTATACTTTCCGTAAAGCTATATGTTAGATTCATATAGTTGGAATTAAAATCATATTATGCACTTTTTTAATTATTTTATACATATTATGTGATTATATTTTTCCGTAATGCTATATGTCACTTACATATAGTTGGAACCATAATCACGTAAGATTACTATATTTTATGCCTAATCCGTTCATTAGACCAATATTAATACTTTCTATATTAAAAACACCATATAACGTTCTATAAAAATCTCTATGATTTTTTTAAGGAGGTGAATATATATCTCTTCGCTTCGATGCATTGTAAAATATTGTCTACAAAGAGACATACCCTCATGATTATTTTTTTGTGATAAAGAATTTTCACACAAAGAATCGATTTTGTTTATACACAAGTTTCTGTTTTATATCATATGAACTACACAAGTTCATGAATGTACTCATGATCATGTAATTTTTTTAAGATGGTTGACCATCTTAACTTGTATTTGGCATTTTGGCCTCGGACAGATTTGAGTACCATTATTTTAGAATTCAATGCTACTCCGCCACACTTTGTGAAAAGCAAATCACAAAAGCTTATTTAATTTGATAGAAAAAAATTAACCATTTTTACACATACTTCTCTAGACATATACTAATGCACCAGTATATATTAAATAATTATGTAACTAACTAGCTTTTAGTTTGCACTAGTGAATGATGTTTATTGTTATTGTGTCTTTTTTATAAAATGCAATTACAATTTTTTTTGGGGATAAAGAAACCTCCCAAGAGTTATTTGGATAAAGAAATTTCCAAATAAAAAAAATTGAAAATATAAATTTTAAAGTAAATCCCTTAATATAAGAGGATTAAATGTGATTATCTCGTAAGGATATATATAACTTGAAAATATACTTTTAGTTTTTATCTTCGTAGAATCTCTAAAGAACAAGAGATTCACTGCATGAGAATATAAATTAAGTTTCATGATTGTCTACTATTTTGAGAATAAGAACATTCTCTAAATGTTGGGTTTATCCATTTTTTTTTTTACTCTTTCATGAGGTTTATAAATATGAACATTACTACGGAGTACTTCTAATTAGACTTTTATTCAAGTATAAATTATATTCGTTTGAGATTTTTAATTAATTTAACATCTCATTGTTCTATCTGAAATTATATTATTTGAGATGTTTATGCATTCGAATTCATTACATGCATATCTATGAATTTTATTCATAAAAGAATGGATACAAAGGAATATATCCACAAAAGAGTAAAATGATATGTACCACAGTCAACTTGGGGTCATAGCACTCTAAGGTATATGGGTGACATTTGTAAATTATTGAAATATGTGACAAATAAGTGTTTTAACACATTGTGGTGATGTACAATAAATTAAGGAATATATTTATCGAAGTAATTCCTTAAAATCAGTTATGATTGAAACAATTGTCCACATGTCCTCACATAGAATGGAGTCATGTCATGAGTTTGAATCTGGTGAGCAACCTCTTGTCAAAGTAACAAGAATGGCCTTATATACCATTGTGGGGCTTCCCCGAACCCTCACAATGTGAGGACGTCAATGTTCACCAAGGTACCCTCAATGTTCTTTTAACATGGAAACTCGCTATAAAAATGAGATAGAAAATATTAGATTACATATAATAAATGCATACGAAATGCATATTTAAGCAGGTTGAGTCAAAATGGTCATTGACTCATACAAACTTTGAAATAACTCATTTAGGTTATTAATTATTCGAATAAAGGATGAAATGAGATCCAACACAATGTAAATTGTTGGTTTTAGCATTGATAAATAGAAAAACAATATCAATCTTCTAAAGTACGAGAAGAAATATTTACCTTTCATTATGCCTTACAGATATAGTAGAAGGCACGTCAGTTATTTCTTAAAGTTTACTCCTTAACAAAAATAGAATCGAGACATGTCCACATATGCTAAGGAAATAACAATAAAGATATCTCATTTTTTCAATACAATGTGATATGTGGCGACTCATCTACCAAAATGTGGGCCATTTGAGTGATTACGGTTTGGTAGAAACTTACTCATGCTGTCTATTTTCCCGTTGCATGAAAATGTTGCATTTGCAAAACTTCTAGCAAAACTTATTTATTAAGGGTCCACCACCCGACCAATCAAGTCTATATGACTTGTTACTGCTAGATAGTTCTCATCAAAAGTACTTGATGATTATTGCATATTTTTCGAGATCAATGAAAAACATCTCGCATCCCATGTGAAAAAAAAGAACTCAGTAAAAATCACATCTAAAAGAATGTTGATGGTGAATATTATATCTATTATGCGCGCACTAATATTTTTTTTATGGGATTATGCAATATGGAAGCACTCTTACACATTTGTTTTTTTAAACCGATACTAGACAACCACGTTTATGTATACCAGTTGGTGATTGAATATTAGCCTGAGATGTTCTACTTATGAATATGTGGTTGTTAAATAGTTGTTGCGTCTCCCACAACGCACTATAATCAGTTTTAAAAGAAAATTGATGATTTATGTTGGATATGAATCCCCAACAATAATCCGCTACTAGCCTTAACAAATAATGTGTACACCGCTTTGCGGGATATGACTTTGATGAGACAATTGATTTTCCTGTCATTAGGGAGAGATTAGAGAAAGAACTCTCTAATTGAATGACAATATCATTATGATGGTACATCACTACTTTGTCTCAATGATAAATCTTAGACTTCAAAATGTAACATTGAAGTTAAAGGGGTATCATAAATGATTTAAGTAATCAGATTATACACACTAGCTGCAAACATATTTATAAGGCTTGAATTTAAATTAAAAGAAAGAATGCTAAAGGAAGAAGCATTGCAATCACAAGCAGTGGGGTTGTGGTTGAGGCCTTGGCTCTAAGGAATAGAGGGAAACCACATGGTTCGATTAATTATCCACCCCAAGTAGTAGATGGTAGATAAGGCACAAACCAATATACTCGTCATCATATGAATTCCTCTCATGAGATTACCTCTGATTAAACATGTCCATGAATTTATAATGGGGGACGCCCCGAAGTTTAAATGATTTCAGAGAATTAAAATCTCAATGTTAATGAGAGTGTGTATGAGTCGAATGATAGACCTTACACTTATACTGACGGTATATTTATGCAGTTGCTCAAAGGAGCATAGAGCACGATGATATCGAACCATACTCTATTGCAATATGAAAGCAATGAGAATATTGGCCTAAATGCGTACAAGTAATCCAGGTATAAATTTAATATTTGACAAAGACACGGGTATTTGGTATGATAGTGCTAATCAACCAAGTGTAAAGCCTGTAGGACATGAAATAATTCTTTGTTAGAAAGCGTACTGAGGTAATGAGGTCCTAGTTATTCTCACAACGCTCTGGATTCAAATATGAAAAGTTATATCTCTCTATTTTGAACACAAAAATGTTCAACTACTTAATCTATAAGTAGACTCCAAAGTAATGGAGACCCAGCTAAAGATTGTGGACATTAAATGTCTCAATAGAATTTCATTAAATAGATGTATATGAAGTATTTGTTATGTTTTTATTATCTTTAATCAAGTGGTTTTAAATTACATTGTATATTTACATTGAAACGTTCACATTTGGATGAAATCAATCCAGACGAGAGTGACATACCCATCTAAGTGACCACTTGACTGAAAAGGGATAGAAAAAGATAGATTATGTTTTCCCTCCAAGTATCATTATATGTCAAAGATATAGACATAGTATGTACTCATATTAAAGAAAATGAGAAATCTTAGATACTTGGAAGTCATAATTGAGATAAAGGATCTTGGGAAACTCAGGTTGTTTTGAAAACACCGAGTTGGTTGAATAATAATTCACCGGTTGCATATATCCAAAAAGGTTCTCACGCAAATTAGCATGGATAAATGTGAACCGTTAGCACTCCCATGATTGGTCGAAATATGGATGTTAGAAAATATATCCATTATTGGAAAGTTATTGAGAGAAGAAATTACTTATAAAAGTGCAATATGCGCATGATTGTACTTGACAAACACATTCGACCAAATAATACATTCTCAAGAACGTGTTAGCTGAAAATAACACAGGATCAATACATAGTATATCATCATTGAAATAGTATCAAGAATGTACTTTGATATCTATATGAAACAATTGGTATAATCTTTATTCGTCCCTTATAAATTAATTAAATGATTGATGATAATAATATTTCTTAAGGAATTGGAAATGTTAAAAGTATCACTCTAACACAAAGTAACGTGATTTGAGTTTTACTGATGATGGATATCCCCTTACCTCATTGATACCCTTACCTCATTGATACTTTCTTATATGAGGATATATTTACCATGAAATAAACCAAGATGTTATATATGTAATATCCTGATAAAAGTATATATCAAGCACATATCGAATTTTTATTGATGTGTTGCATTTAGGGGGAATCCTTACATACTTATTTATCATCAGTTATATTGGTGCGTTGTACTCTTTTTCTTTTCTCCCTTTTGACAAAGGTTTATTTTTTTCCATTGGGTTTTGTTACTTGGTAAGGTTTTTCTTATGAGACAACATAATATGCACCATCCCACATTTTAATTTTGCGAAAGTAAACAATGTTGAAGAAAGAGCATAATTACTATATCGCAGTCAAAAGTAATTGACGTGTAGGTTTTAGTGCACCATACTTCCTTTTCACTTTGACTGATGTTTATTTTTCCCATTGGGTTTTGTTCATTGACAACGTTTTCGCAAGTTAATTTGAGAAAATTTCCTACGCTCGACACGCAGGGGGGAATTAAAGGAATTATATTCCTCTATTGTGTGCCTTCGTTAAGGTAATTAATGTGACAAGTATTGAAATGCACATATTTTACAAACACCCTTGATTAATGTAAATATCAAGGGTTGATGCAGACTTGAGGGGGAGTACCCCAACTAGATTACGTTACACTCTTTTCCTTTATCCGAGTTTTATTTTTTCTCACTGTGTTTTGTTACCTGGTAAGGTTTTTAATGAGGTAACGATACATATAAACTTTAATGATCAAAGCAAAAATCAAATAAAGATAGACTTAATGAAAGAAGCCTATCTTGATGCTATACTCCTTTTTCTCCAGTCAAGGTTAGTTTTTTTCCACATGATTTTTGTTACTTGACAGAGTTTTGATGAGGCAACAAGACTGATACCATCATTCTATCTACAACTCGGCACAAGGGGAAGTGTTGAAGGAAATTACTTTAATGTGTTGGGCTAATTGGCCCATTGGCTCATTCCTTGTAAAACCCTAATCCCTCCTATTTAAAGGGGGGCTTACTGATGGAATGAACACACATCACTCACTTCCCTACAACAGCTCCCAATTTTTTTCCTAATATGTGTTTTAGTCAACCGATACCAACGACCAGAGTAGCGGTTCTTTCATTTTTTTCCTTTGCTGCCCTCACGCGTGGGTAATTAGGATGTTTTTACTTGGACTGTAATTTGCTGCTCTGGTCTGGTCTGGTCTGATCTGGTCTGGTCTGGTCTAGTCTGTTTTGGTCTGATCTGGTCAGGTCTGGTTTGAAATTTTATTTTTTATATTTTTTGCATAAAGATTTTATTTTTTATATATATTATAATCCATAAATAATTATATTTTATTCATTTATAATTACAAATAATAATAACAATAACAATAACAATAATAATAATTACGGAGTATAATAATAATAATAATAATAATAACAACAACAACAACAACAATAACAATAATAACAACAACAATAATAATAATAATAAGGGGTGTGCACTATCCGGTTTAAACCAGAAAACCGGATCGAACCGGACCGGAAAAACCGAAACCGGATCGAGCCGGAATGATATCCGATCTGGTTCAGTCCGGTCCGGTCCGGTTTTGAACCGGTGCACACCCCTAATAATAATAATAATAATAATAATACTAATAATTATAATAATAATAATCTAACTCTATACAAAACGAGGTGGAAAGGGGTTCATTTTCCCGCCCATTATCACGGCTAAAAAGATGTGGGTCCGGTTGGAAGATCATCAGTTGGTATTTATTGCATTGTACCAATGATGTGATGTTTACCAACTAAATTTACTGTCCTTTACTTTATTTTACTATCCAATAAATCTTTTTATTGCATTCTCAACTTTGCATTTATTAAGCATTGTATATCAGCCAATTTCAAATATGAGGTGCATTTAATGGTCCGTATTGAACTAACCATTCTATTTGTATCAGACTTGATATCATTATTGGGTACATTCTATTTGTAGTAATATAAATATGTGTTCATTTATAGCCACATCTCAGCTTTGAAACCAGTGACCGTAAACACAACAGGAAGCAGAATGCGAGGGCATTTGAGGTTTCAGCTAGCCCACTTTTTTTAGGGGGTAGACAACCGGTTATCTGCGTGCCATGCATGAAGAAAGGTATAACTTTTTTTTGTTGAAATTCAGTGTTTTTCAAGTTGAGGTATATACGGAGTAGTATACGTGATAAATACGGAGTAAAATTTAGAAAAATCTGGTTCATATTGTGTTCCATGCTACTACTTTTTTCAAAAAGAACAAACTTACATTTGTAGTTTCATGTCAGTTTTATTGCCAGTAGTGCATCTTGATGTTAACGTGGACAACATTTTCAGGAAGGTCCATGCTACTGTGGACAGGATACAAGTCAGAATTAACAATGCAAAAACCAGACGAGATGGAGTTTTACAAAGCACCTTCAATTCGTATGAATGCAACTTCAGTTTGTATAGCACTAAACATGTACGTGTTATTGATCGAACCATCAATATGGGAACAATAAACAGTAATGACGTCTCTGAGAAGTTCGGGTGTAAAGTAACGATCACGGTAGCAACCAATAGTATGAGAAGTTACAAGATAATCGATCTGTTGGTTCTTCAAATGGGGTGTAACGTGTACGGATATATTGTAATTGTTGTTGGGAAATGTAGCATTACATAGGGTATGCTTAGGTTTTGGCGGTAGGTGGGTATAAAGGGTGAATACTGGTTGGGCTGGGCTCATAAAATAAATGAATATGACTCTCCGAAGTAATTGCAAATAAACTACGGAAGAATAAGTTCATTTTTTTTCAAGTGTGTATATTATGTATCTAGAATGATGGGGTGAATCTAATTATATACTCCGTATTAATGATAAAGGTGATTACAATTTTAGTTTCATGACTTTCCGATGATTACCCTGTAACTTTGTTTGATTACACATATATATTCATGTAATTCATAAATCTTTATAATTAAAATAAGGAACCAAATAATGTAATACATAATCCTAAAACATTATAGCAAGACTTTAAACACCCACAAACTAACGATTTGGCAACATGTGACTTTTAAAGTGTCTATGTATACACCCAAAACATATACCAAGTACTACCTTTCTTCCATAATGGTTGTCTCATTTAAATTTGGGACGATTATTAATAAAGTATCTGAAAAGTAAAAGTTATGATTCAACTTTGAGTAGAATTAGATGAAGTAGTATGGACCATAAATTTCTTACCAAAATGGAAACATGACATCCATTTTGTGATAACCCAAGAAAGAAAGTAAGATAACCAAAATGTGAGGGATATGGTATATTATAGTGAAGGTGTATTGAGATTTACCAAATTCTGCGGAGGGGCAACGATCTGATTCCTAGAGTCGTAGGGCATTATTGGATGTGAACCAAGCCAAAGTTTTGGACAAATAAGGAGGGGAGAGAAATTTGGTGAGCTCTATACTAAAGGTTGGATAATGATATGGTACGGTGGATAGCCTACGTGTGATTGTTCATTTTACGGAGTAGTTTAAAATGTATACTACGGAGTACATATTTGTGAGTAATTTTGAAAAGTTTTGTTTGATTATCATTCTTTTTCATTTTTCTTACTCAATAACAACCAAATATTTTTATTTTATTCTCACTTTCTAAATCTCCAATCTAAATCAAATCGCAAAGAATTTCATGGGACGAATGAACTATAACTCTACACTCTCGGGAATCTAGCTATGCTTTAGTTTTAAGCTTTATATTCTAAACAATAATTTTTTAGTACAATACTTCCCAATTTATTAACTACCATTGTTTCCCAATATTTAAAATCTTCTTTTTAAACCACATATTAAAACACACTACAAAAATTAATACAATAAACTTTGGACTTTTTTATGGCCCGTGCATCGCACGGGTAAAAATCTAGTAATAATAATTAGGGGTGTGCACTAGCCGGTTTAAACCGGAAAACCGGTCAGAGCCGGATCGGAAAAACCGGAACCGGACCGAACCGGAATGATATCCGGTCCGGTTCAGTACGGTCCGGTCCGGTTTTGAACCGGTGCACACCCCTAATAGTAGTAGTAGTAATAATAATAATAATAATAATAATAACAATAATAATAATAATTAGGGGTGTGCACTAGCCGGTTTAAACCGGAAAACCGGACCAAACCGGACTGGAAAAACCGGAACCGGATCGAACCGGAATGACATCCGGTCCGGTTCGGTACGGTCCGGTCCAGTTTTGAACCGGTGCACACCCCTAATAATAATAATAATAATAGTAATAGTAATAATAATAATAATAATAATAAATAATAATAATAATAATCTATTCTAATATAAAAGCAAAAGAAGTTTGAGTAATAGTGTTCCCTCCAAGAAATGTCAACATCATGTTTTATTTTAATTTTTATTGGATACTTTATTTTGATTAAAATACTAATTTTCTATTAGTTGAAATGAGTGGTGGGAATAGTCAAATACTTAAATCTTATCTATTCTAATATAAAAGCAAATGAAGTTTGAGGAATAGTGTTCCCTCCAAGAAATGTCAACATCAAGTTTTATTTTAATTTTTTTTGGATACTTTATTTTGATTAAAATACTAATTTTCTTTTGGTTGAAATGGGTGGTGGGAATAGTCAAATACTTAAACATTATCTATTTATTCTAATATAAAAGCAAAAGAAGTTTGAGGAATAGTATTCCCTCCAAGAAATGTCAACATCAAGTTTTATTTTAATTTTTATTAGATACTTTATTTTGATTAAAATACTAATTTTCTATTGGTTGAAATGAGTGGTGGAAATAGTCAAATACTTAAACCTTATCTATTCTTATATAAAAGCAAAAGAAGTTTGAGGAATAGTGTTCCTTCCAAGAAATCTATTCTTATATAAAAGCAAAAGAAGTTTGAGGAATAGTATTCCCTCCAAAAAATATCAACATCAAGTTTTATTTTAATTTTTATTTGATACTTTATTTTGATTTAAATACTAATTTTCTATTGGTTGAAATGGGTGGTGGGAATAGTCAAATACTTAAACCTTATCTATTCTAATATAAAAGCAAAAGAATTTTGAGCAATAGTGTTCCCTCCAAGAAATATCAACATCAAGTTTTATTTTCATTTTTATTGGATACTTTATTTTGATTAAAATACTAATTTTCTATTGGTCTAAATGGGTGGTGGGAATAGTAAAATACTTAAACCTTATCTATTCTAATATAAAAGCAAAAGAAGTTTGAGGAATAGTGTTCCCCCAAGAAATGTCAACATCAAGTTTTATTTTAATTTTTATTGGATACTTTATTTTGATTAAAATACCAATTTTCTATTGGTTGAAATGGGTGGTGGTAATAGTCAAATACTTAAACCTTATTGGTTGAAATGAGTGGTGAGAATAGTCAAATACTTAAATCTTATCTATTCTAATACAAAAGCAAAAGAATGTTGAGGAAATACTAATTTTTTATTGGTTGAAATGGGTGGTGAGAATAGTCAAATACTTAAACCTTATCTATTCTAATATAAAAGCAAAAGAATTTTGAGCAATAGTGTTCCCTCCAAGAAATATCAACATCAAGTTTTATTTTCATTTTTATTGGATACTTTATTTTGATTAAAATACTAATTTTCTATTGGTTGAAATGGGTGGTGGGAATAGTAAAATACTTAAACCTTATCTATTCTAATATAAAAGCAAAAGAAGTTTGAGGAATAGTGTTCCCCCAAGAAATGTCAACATCAAGTTTTATTTTAATTTTTATTTGATACTTTATTTTGATTTAAATACTAATTTTCTATTGGTTGAAATAGGTGGTGGGAATAATCAATTACTTAAACCTTATTGGTTGAAATGGGTGGTGGGAATAGTCAAATACTTAAATCTTATCTATTCTAATATAAAAGCAAAAGATGTTTGAGGAATAGTGTTCCCTCCAATAAATGTCAAAATCAAGTTTTATTTTAATTTTTATTGGATACTTTATTTTGATTAAAATACTAATTTTCTGTTGGTTGAAATGGGTGGTGAGAATAGTCAAATACTTAAACCTTATTGGTTGAAATGGGTGGTGGGAATAGTCAAATACTTAAACCTTATTGGTTGAAATGGGTGGTGAGCATAATGAAGCTTATTGATTGTTTCGAAATTCCTAAAAGATTGCAATGGAATTTCAGATATAAAAGTAATGTGGATGTAAGAAGGTTTTCACATTCATTTATTCCCATATCAATAAATATATATTATTGCTCAAGTTGGTAGTATTATTTTGTAACAATTGATTTCACCAAAAATTGGTTGAAAAAAACATATCGTAATTTTATAATTGTAGGTTGGACAAAAAGAAAAAATTCAAAAGACATTGATGGAAGGGATATTTTTTAAATAAAATCTATATTTTATTCGCTCTTTTCTAATTACTCGTATATTCTACTTTTTAAGAATTTTGCATTGTAATTCTATATGATGTAGGTTTTCATGTATTTTATTTATTTGAAAACGGATTTAGTATTTATCAATTTTGACATTATTTTTAGCATTTTTATACTTTTATTTGTATATTTTGAAAATGCATATGTGCTTTTATAAAAAAAAATCAATTATGTGAAGTTATTTAGAAAATGAACCATCATAGTGGCTCAAAATGCCTCGATTGAATGTGTTTTAAAAGTGAATGTACTTAATGACACCATTACTTTTTTTCGTATATGATCAACACACATGTACGAAATAATATAAGGATTTCTTTAAACACTTCCCACAAATTTATATTCAAGTATAGTTTAAAAATAAAATAACACACTTTTACATTATTGCACACCCCCTATTTTGCATGTTTACCCGGGCAATCATTTAGAAAATGAAAAAATATTTGCTAAATCATTTGTGCATTGTGAGGGTGAATTTATTAGAAGGAAGAATTTTAATTTTAACATGAGTTAGTGCGGGACATAAGGTGTTAAGTTCGAAGCATTTCTTAACACCTTAAGACGTTAGCCACTGCAATTCCGGATACTAGAATACCTAAACATGACTTATTGTGTAATGAATGTAAATAAAATCAAAAATAGTTGGTGTCCCGTGTTGCATGGTTTGTTGTTGAAAACCCTTATTAGTAGTTATTGTCAATTTTACGTGGTTGTGTCAGGAGCAATCAATCCGTCGAGCGTTAAACAATCACATTGCATACAATGACCGTGGAACAAAAATTGAAATAGAGAGTATTGTGGGTCTATAAAATGTGTGAACTACTAAGTAATCATTGATAGATCATACTGAATATGTTTCATTTTTACGTCAAACTTTATAATTGTACAGACAACAATTGTAAATGATTCAAGTAAAATTAGAAGTTTTTTAACTTTAAATTTGATTAAAATTAATTGTATTGTGAAAATTTTCAAACCGTGCATCGCACGAGTGCTCTACAAGGATCGAATAGACTCGGTTAAGGCCCGATTGGCTCAGACGCCCATACAATCGAGTCGAACCGTGCATCGCACGGGTTCAGTCTGGGATCGAATAGAGCCAGTTAAGGCCCGATTGAAGAATTATCATAGTTGAGTATTGTTTAAATAATGCCATAACACACTTTCACATATTTGCACACCCCCTGATTTGCAAATTTATCTGGGCAATTCGTGTAACAAATGCAATTCGTATAAATGCATAGTCACCATATTACTTGAGATGTTTATACTTAGACTTATTTCAGTCTCAAACCAAACCAAACTTAAACAAACAAGACCAGACCATACTTGGATATTGGAAACAGTAGAAGCACCTATTTGAACATTTTCCCACAAATTTAGATTCAAGTATAATTCAAGAATGACATAACACACTTTCACATATTTTACTCCTTTATTTTACCTATTTAGAGAGACAATTCGTCTAAAAAATTCATGTAAG